TAACTAACCACTAATTCACCCTGTTGTACGTCAATCGTTAGCTGATTCTGCACATTTTGAATAGTGTGCTGCAGCTGGGACAAAAAATGGACCATGCTTGTCATGGATGCACCATATTCGATTGCAGCATTCTGCAAAGAGAATCTCCCCCACTCTAAGCCCCTCAAAACGAACACCAAGATACATCTAATATGCTATGCATGCGCGAAATTAACCCACCAAACCTGTAGCTTGATACTTTGTGACGGGCGTGTGAACAAGCGCTCTCCTCTCGGGTCGAACGAAAGCACTTTCCTCTCGGCGACCAGATGTCACGCAGTTTGACGAATTTCTTTGACGGATCACTCCCCGCCTCTCCAGCGAGCCCTGCGGGTCCCGAGGCAAGCGGTTCGATTGGAGGTTTTTCGCGACGGTTCCACCAGCCGCCACGCCAATACCGACCGTCCGCACGTAACAACAGGGTTCTGTGGAAGCCCCGCCCCCCACGGCCTCTGCAGCCTTTCAGGGCTGTCGGAAATGTCAAGACAAACGCCCCACCGCGAGGCCCAAATAAAGTTAATAGGCGCAATGTAAACTAAAATAATGACACAAAAATAATAATGTGACATGTGTTAATGCGAACGATTTTAAACACCCCCCATCACGAAAAAGGTTTTTAAATTACAACCGGGAAGAGCCTTGTGAATACAGCGATTTGTGCTGTGGAAATGCTTGCACTTTGAAAACTGCTTTAAGGCGAACCACTTGTGGTACTTTTTCAGTTAATTGTCTTTTCAAAGCCATTTTTAAGAAAACCCTTGTAACGTCATGTCCTCGACGTCGCCGTTTAAAAAACAACTCCATTATCCCCGTCTCTGCTTCCTCTCCGACCTGCTGCTTCATTACATTTCGTAACCACCGATTTGACACATAAAAACACGTTCACTGTGTTTAATGAGTCACACGATACAGATTAAAAGCAACGCATAAAGGATAGTTTGCGCGTGCACATTTTTGAAAATGCAGGTAAATATAATGATTTCTTCACTAGGAAACCGGTGGTAGCGTGGCCGAGTGGTCTAAGGCGCTGGATTTAGGCTCCAGTCATTTCGATGGCGTGGGTTCGAATCCCACCGCTGCCAAGAATCTTTTCTTTACATCAATCGTACGAAAAACACGAAGAAAAATCATGGCAAACATACTCGTTTACCGCCTCTAACGCTATCATTTTTCATTGACAGTGATGTCATCAAGACATAATAAGGAAAAAGTTTAGACTTAAAAATTTATGAACATAAATTGGGTCCAGTTGAAATTCATGCTCATTTAATACTGTGCAATTAATTCAATCAGTTAACAAATTGTTTAATACATTAAAAGGTATCAGTTGTTTTCCAGTATATATGATTTAATTTCATTAAAAAATATATTTTATCATTTACAATGAATCAATGACCACATTACAGAGTGAGCAAAATGAATAATAAAATAAGAAGTATAAATCTCCTTAAGTTTCTCCAGTTGTCCTTCTCTCAAGATAAGAGACACTTAACAAACATTTTTCAAGCCCCTCAATTATTTATTCTCCAAGCAGTGACGTGCGACAAATTGCAATTTTTTGATGGCCAGCTGCGTGTCTTCAGGCGATATCCCCAGATGCCACACGGCTCGGACACAATTGCCAAAATGAGGGTACATGAGGACTTGAACGCCCTGGCCCAGCGCGCCCTCCTCCCCGTCCCCGACTTGGGCCATGCGGTCGCAGAATTCCGCCGGATTCAAGGCGGGTTCTCGAATTTGGAAGCGCAGGATGTTTGTCTCCACCGCCGCCATGTCCACGGCAAACAGAGGCGGCTCGCAAGTTTGCAAGGCTGTCAAGAGGCAAAACAAATAAGCCGTTATGATGGCGGCGGAAAGCAGGACGAAGAGGAGGAATTCAAAGAAACCTTGAGCGAAGGTTCTCGCGTTGCGGTGATCTTCTTGGAGTCTCTCGACCATGTCCAGCAAAGACACTTTTCCCGCTGCCGCCAGTATGCCAGCCTGCCTCATGCCGCCACCCAGAGCTTTACGGCACCTCACCGCCCGGGAGATGAAATCTCTGGGCCCAGCTAGCATGCTTCCCACCGGGGAGCCCAGTCCCTGTT